TGCTGTATATTTGTGTACTGTATACCTGTGCTTTATATATAGAGTCAGTCTTCTTTTGTTACCGCCCAAGTACCCATTTTCACCCCTTTGGGAATAACTGCACACCTGCTAATGACACCTGCTCTGAGGCCCTGGGTCGTGAGCCGTGGAGCTGGCTCCAAATGCAGGCTGGGTGCGTCTGGCCTGTGCCACCCCTGCACCACTGCACAGCACTGCCTCTTTCTCATCTTGCCTTCCCTGCAGTGTGGTTCCGCAGTGCCTTTCCACCATGCTTCGGGTAAGGTACACATCCCTTCAGGGGGCACCCAGGACCTTCAGGATCTGGCTCTTGCTGTCTCCATACTCTGCTCCAGTGAATGCTGAACACGGGTACCCGCTTACAACTGGCCAGATTCTCTCCAGCCCCTTGCCTGCACACCCTCTTTGCTCGTTTCCAGCTGCTTGCTCTCCAAGACCCAGCTGGGGCATCAGCCCTTCAGGGAGCTTTCCCTGATCCCACCCCCTTCTCCAGGGCCTGGATGAAGCCCTTGGATTTCATCCTCCAAACATGCGCTATACTCGATTTTATGTACTCGTCTGCCTCCCCCAGTGGACTGCAAGGACTTTGGGAGAAAAGAGCTTATCCCCAAATCCCCAGGCCCAGAACGATGGGCGGCAGGTGCAATAGAGACCGCATGAACAGAGGAAGTGCCCGTGCAACAGAAGAAACAGCGTTCTCATTTCTTCAACACCACGACACTTCTCAACTGCTATATCACGCTCTAATGATCCTGCAGCTGGGATGGGACTGGAAGTGGCCCTTATTTTCCCAGTCCGTGGCCCCTGCGTTCACGGCAACAGAGTCCTCAATGAGACTCTGAGGCTGACCAGGCTGAGCTCATGTACCTACCTTGTTGGCTTTCCTCCTGCTCGCATGTGTCATCTCTGCTATCCAAGTCAGAATTCCCTTTTCTCAGCAGAAATCCCTCCCCTCCTCATATAATTTCCCAGCTTCTTTTGGAGCCGACGCTGGCTGCTTCTGTCTGCCTGGCACCTGCATCTGGTCCCCTTGCTGGGCTTTGAGGGTCCTTTGGGAAAACACCCCGTGTGCAGTTTCAATGCATGTGGTTTATGATGGCAAAGACCTCGCTTCTGGGCTCCAGAGTTAATCTAAGAGCCCGGCCTGACCAAAGTCTTTAATCCCTCTGCTTCAGAAGGTTCTAGGGGTGAACAAATGACCAGAGTCTGTTCTAAGAGACACAATCTGCAGATTTAACCAGAACTGTCAGGAAAGAGAAATTCCCTTTTTACTGGGATGGGAGGATAGAAGTCTGACATGGGCCAGGGCCACCAACAAAAGCCAACACAGGAAGAGCAGACCCCAGAGAGGAAGAGGGAGACAAACACAGGAACACAACACACGCCGAGCCCTGCTGTCCTCACTGCATCTCGCCAGTCTAGCTGGGCCTGATGCTCCAAACTGTTCCATTCCATGAATCAACGGATTTGCCGCCCGTTTGTGCTTAGAGCCCTTTGAAATAGATTTTTGTAAATTCCAACACGGTGTATGGGAATACTGCACACAGCTTAGCCCATAGTGGGCCTGCAACAAACATTAGTTCCTTTATCTTCCACTGGTCAAAGCTAGCAGAGGAGGCTCACAGGAAGGCGGTGGCACATTGGGCCCACTAATCCCACCTCTGGTTGACTTTGCCAAACGTCGGTCATGCTCAGCTTTCACAGTATGGAGGTGGGAGACCAGCATCTTGATGCTTCAATAGTGTTATGGATTCTAGAGTGAAGAGGTCCTATGTTCAAAACCAGAGTTCGCCACTTTCTACAGGACCTCCAGGAGCTCCCAGTCCTTTATTCTTAAATGGGGATAATGGTACATGCCCTAAGGTTTACACAAACAATTACAGGAGATGGTGTCACGCGAGCTCTTGGCGTGGTGCCTGGCACTTAAAAGGGGACTCGGGAAACATCAGCAAGCACGATCATCATCGTACAAGGGGACACTGGTGGAGAAAAAGAATTCAGAGAGCTGAATTCATTCGATGGCAGTGTCAATGACTCCAACACACTCAGGAACCAGAAGAGCTGCAAAGGGTCAGCTCTGGGTTGTAGAAACGGCCACCACAGTGAGCTGGTTTGAACCCCTGAGTGCCAGGCCTGCCACCGAGGACACAATCCAGAAGGTTTTGATCTGCCTCAATGCTCTACATATGTCAAGTCTGTCTGGCAATCACCTGCTCTTGCTGTGCCTCAAAAGGCAGAAGAGTAGCACTCTGGTCCTAGCTTCAAAACCATGCCGCCAGTGAGAAATGCATGTCTCTTCCACACTTAACAATTTTCTGTGTGAGCTCCCCAGTGCCTCCTTCTCGCACATTCATGAGAAACAAAAAAGTTGGACAGAAAGTAGGTCCTTGTCGCCTCTTGGCTGCTCTCATGCTTAACCAACTCATCCATCCTAATACTAATTCAATTTTACTTTCATCTGTAAGAATGTTCTCCTCCATATTCCCTTTTGCGGACTGGCAGGAAGAGTCTAGTGAATGCTCGTGTGCAGAGTCCACCGACACTGAAATTTCTGGTTATTTTAAATCCAGCTTTGAATATATACAAACTGGTATGTATATATAAAAATCATACAATTGATACATCAAGTATTATTCAAAACATTTTCTATTCAAACCGAGTTTTCTGAAAATATAGACAGTTGTCATTTTCTAATGGGAAAATGCATCTCAAATGGAAGGGTCTTAAAGTTCTCTTGGGGTGCCTGGATGGCTCAGTCATCAAGCGTCTGCCTTCAGCTCAGGTCATGATCCCGGGGTCCTGGGATCGAGCCTGCTCAGCGGGAAGCCTGCTTCTCCCTCTCCCACTCCCCCTGCTTGTGTTCCTGCTCTCACTGTCAAATAAATAAAATCTTTGAAAAAAAATAAAGTTCTCTTTACTGTAGGACACAGGCCCTTCCTCTATGTAGCTTATAGTATCAACATGCATGTTTTGGCTGGCCTGGTCTCTGCGGATGCTTGGCCACACAGCCCTTGTTCCCAGTGATCTGTTCTTGGATGGGCAGAGGACCAAGGTGGGCCCGTGAGAAACAGTCCTGAGGTTTTCGCTACAACTGCTTAGGGCAGGAACTTGTTCACGCCAGGGCTGCTAAGCAACCGTGTCCAGTCAGGGGGCAGCTGTGTATGCTCTCTACTCCTCCGTGGAGAGGGTCCGTGACTAAAACCACACACACGGTACTGAACAGAGCCAAGAGAGGAGTGTGCAGACCTTTTGTCACTTCCGTGTGCTCAGTTAAACCCATGTCAGGCAGCTTCCCATTTACCAATGGGCTCCAGACCAATGTTTGTTTGCAAACCACTTTGTTCTAGAGAAGGCACAACAGGGAGGAGAGTCTAGTGTTCCTGGGCTCACCCAAACATGATGAAATTCATGATCTAGCCCGTCTGTAATATTCACGGTGCTGCAGGTGCCATCAGACACCTGGGGAAGCCAGAGATGAACCCTTCATTATCCCCTGATTCTACTGAATGGAGAATGGGCCCAGAGACCCACAGCCCTTCTGCCAGCAGATTCTGTTGATCCCACCTTCAAAATATATCTAAATCCAACTGAGTCCTACCACCTGCACTGCTACCCCCTCAACACCTGCTTCGGGACTTGTTCAATCTCCCAGCTGTTTGCTGCACCCCTGATCCTCTTCAGGCTTTTTGCAACACAGCAGCTAGGTAACCCAGAAGTCAGATCACAGCACACTTCTGCTGCAAACCCTACTTATCTCAGGGTAAAAGGCAACGTACCCCATCTCTTCCTGATCCTCTCTCCTACCACTCTCCCCCATGCTCACCTGGCCCACTGACCTCTTCGCTATTCCCGAAACGTGCCGGGGCACACTCCTGCCTCAGGGCCTTTGCACGCGCAGTTTCCGCTGCTTGTCACCTGCCCCCAGTGGAGCCCATCCGACTCCCTCCTACTTTAGGTCTTTGTTCAAATATCACTTGCCACTTAGGGCTTCCTTAACTATACTCAACGTTAAGTCCAGAATGCCCCTCCCATTTCCAGATTTAATTTTCTCCATTACACACTTACCATCACTTTAAGTATCACATATCTTATGTGCTTTACCTGTCTCCCCCACTAAAAAGTAAGCTCCAGGAGGTAAGACTGTCTGGCACGTAACAGGAGCTCAAAATTAACCGAGTGAATGGCAAGAAAGGAAGCAAGGGATGGAAACAGGACACCTGTTCATCATAGAGGAAGCTCATTCAAGGGCAGAAGCCTCCTACAGTAGTCAGAGAGGTGAAGGTAGCCAGGCCAACCAAGTGGGCCAGCGACCTCACTCAGTTACGCTGCCTCAGAGAATGCAGCTGGAAAACACAGAACTTTTAAACAGAAGCTGCAAGCAGGCTTCCCAGGGGGGAGCAGTGAGAACCAGTTCAAGGACGGTGATAATTCAGGGAAGACTTAAAAATCAGCCCTTTTTATATTATGTGTATTAAATGTCACATAATATGCTAAATGTTTCCCTATCACCTGATTTTTCAGCAAAAGGCTTTCACAAACATCTTAAAGTCAAGAAGGGTTATTATGCAGATACCACAAAGTGAAACACGGCCCCAGAGAACCTGAAAATGCTAGGAAGCTTATTCATTCATTTTGCAGGTTCAGGAACTAAAGCTTCAGGGGGAAATGGGATTTGAATCCAGCAAGTATCAGTGCTGGGGTCTGAACCTGGATGTCCCCGACTCCCAAGCAAAGTCTCCTTTGGCGCTCAATCACAGAAGCTCCTCCTAAGTGCCCTGATCTCAGTTGTGGCTCTAGCCCACCAGCTGCTTCCGGATGAAGCAGATCCCCCAGGTGGTGACCCTAGACACATTCCAGCTGCCTCACCTTACTGAATGAGAGGCCCTGGGCTTCCCCTCCCCACAGCCGGCCCCTCCCAGGGCAGGGTGCTTACAGCAGAACCTAGCCCCCCACATCCCGTCTGTAGGTGCAGCCTGGCTTACCTCCAATAAACTAGCACAGCAATGAGAAGGATGAGGCACACGAAGGTCAAGGCTGAGACCACAATCAGAGGGATGATCCATTCCATCCTCCCTGGAGAAGGACGGCTTATCATTCCAGAGGTGTTCTTTTCTGCTGCAAAGAGAAACCGTGGCAGTTAGAGGACAGGGGCTGGCGGAGAGGGGGAGCGGGGAGCCAGAGTAAGACACAGAGCTCTGTTCCACTTTGGGGTGCTTTCCGGAGGACTGAGCCGCCTGCTCTGGCTGTCCTGGGGCAAGAGAGGCAATCTGCAGCGGGCACCATTTCCTACCGAGTCTCAACCCAAGTGGGGCTTTTTCTCTAATTGCCAGAGGGAAGGACTCGCAGAGGGAGGTCAAGATGTTCTCAGGGAGGGTGACATCCAGCTTCACTCCAAGAACATTACGACCCAGAGCAGCTTTTGGACACACTGAAGAAATGTGCTGAAGCCTGGACGCAGCATCACATTTGCCTCCGGAAAGGGACTGGAGTGGTGGGAGGTGGCTGGGAGCCTCTCAGGTTCCCCAGCGCCAAGGCCGGAGGAAGGGCAGGATGGGTTTTGCTAAGATAACCAGCAGTAACAACAATGGTTCTATTCTTCGCCTGCTTAGCACCCCTTACCCCTTCCTCTAGTACCTGCACCCAGTTCTGTTTGGGGAAAGCACCTCGCCCTAAAAGATAAAGTCATAGTGGGACGATCATCCAAGCATGGGGCTCCCAATCTCCCGGGCAAGGGTAGGGGTGAGCCCGGGACTCCAGGTAGGGCAGCAGCTCTCCCCGTGGAGTCCCAGCCACTCAGACTCAATTACAGCACAGTCCACCCAGCGGTTGCCAGCCCCCAGAGCCCCGGAGGTCGTGTGTCTCCAACTCTCCAACTTCTCCCATTACTCCCCACCCCCATGCTTCTAAAAGTTAGTCGGCCTCTAAAAAGCAGCCAGTCTAGAGGTTCACGGCCAAATCTGAAATGATCCGGGCTTCTCTCTGATCCGCAGATACCTCTTACCCAAGCAGCTCTTTTCTCTGGTTCTCGCAGGCCCCGAGGATCCTCCCAAGTCCCCAGGAGTCTCTGGAAGGAACCTACTCTCCTTTATACCGAAGGGAAGATGCATGGAAATCTCCAGGTGGTGCAGGGAAGGGCAGGGGTGCTCACAGACAATCATGGGAGGCAGGTGGCCAGAAAGCAAAGGTTAAATGTGAGCGCGGGGAGAAGCCCCAGGAAAAATCTACAGCAGGCTGCAGGCTGACTCGTGCTCGGCCAGGATCCTCCTGCTCTGCAAAAATTAGGCCAATGTTCAGCCAGCCCAGAGTGTCCCTCTGCAGGGTGGCTTCAGGGCAGGGCTAATCAGGCTGGGCTTCCAAGTCAGAGAAGGTGGGCTGACCAGGAAAGAAATAATTGGCCCCGGGGAGCAGATTTATAAAGAGGCAAGGCTCCTGAGTAACGAAGAAGCGTGTTATTCACCAGCTTTTTTTCTAGCTTTTCACTGGCTTCTTCTAGCTTCCTTTGATCACCTCCTTTGTTTCATGCACAGCCCTGTGCATCACCTGGGGCCAGATGGAGGCCAGCTCACAGGTAAGTAGACAGAGGCAGGCAGGCAGGCATACTCTGATGAAACACTGTAACATGGCACTGAAGTATCTTCCTCACTGTGCCAGCCCACTGCTCTTGACCCCTTGCTCCACAATTTCTCATTAGATAGCTATTTGCCAAGTCCCTAGTGTGGGCCCAACGTGGTGCTAGGGGATGGGGATGCAGCAGGACGTCAGGCAAAAACAGCCCTGTGCTGTGGGGATCACTGAAGAGGGGGGAGGCAGGCACAAGAACAAGGAATTAGGTAGGACAAGATGAATGGGGTACCAGGGAGAGCCCGAGGGCTGTGCATAGGGGGAAGAGCCGTCCTAGCCTAGGGGGTTGTAGAGGGGGCTCCTTGACACAGAGACCTGGGGGGTGAAGGGGAGTTAGCCAGGCTGAGTGCAGGGGAAGACGGGTGTTCTGGACAGAGAGCATGAGAATGACGGGAACCAAGGTAAGAGTGGTGGAGGCCACATCCGCTGGGGCCCTGTAAGCTGAATTCAGAAGACGTTCTAGTCCCAAGAGCACTGGAAGCTACTGCAGCGTTGCAAGCTGAGGCTGACAAGATCAGGTGTGCAATCTCTCCTTTGGCCTGATGTTTTAATAGCAAAGCTCTGGTGACCGCCTAGAAGAACCAGTTACAAACAAGAATAATTGTGCTGGGCTCCAGCAGGGGGCAGCACAGCAGGGCAACTAGCTGGCTGACGGATTCGAGTATCTTAAAGACGGGAAGGTCCTGTTAAAGGAAACTATGGCAGGAGGACTGACATTACAGGCCACATGTCCAGTGAATTCGGTATACCCCCCCCACCCCGGGAGGCCTTGGCATCCTGGGGGAACTCCCAATGTCTTATTTTTCTCCCGGTCTCTTGACAGAAAAGGATTCTTGCCTGGGCTACTAACATGGTAGACAGGCAGGGGTGGAGGTTGAATGCAAACTTTAGGTCCTACTCATCCTGAAGCACTGAAAAGGACCCTTGGCCAAAATAGCCCCTCACACCCATATCTCTAAACAGTCATTGGAAACACCAGCTCCAGGCTATCTCTGCCATCCTAAAATCAGTAAACAGTGGCCACTCCAGGATTTCTGGGCCTTATGAGTCATGGTCTAGTTGTGAAGGCCAATGGCATATTCCACGGTCCCAGAAATCCCATGCATCGGCCGTTACGTCTGTCCCTCTCTCGTCTCCCACAAAGCGAGGGTGCAAGTTTTCATCAGCTTTTCAGGGAGCCTCCGGTCTCAGAGAAGACTTGCCAGAGGAGAGCATGTTCTGCAGAGCAGGGGTCTGGAAGTCCCAGCTAGCCTCAGGTTGCACGCCTGAGTCATTTCTCTTTCTAACATTTCACAGTGCTCGTGTGCGAATTTTGCCTTGAGGGGGTGGGGAAGTGAACCTGGCAGTAACACCTTGCGGCATTCCAGACCTAAGAAAACGCTGTTCCGCCGGCAGCTGGATGTGCCCGGGGCTTGGCCCTAGAGGCCAGGCAAAAATACGAGCGCTCCCGGATGTCCACGTGAGGCCTGACAAAGGTGATTTCATCATCACATTCACTGTCCTGCTTTGCCTTCATGGTTCCAGGAGCCTGGAGTTTCATCGCATCTGTACACAACCATGTGAACTCTGCTCCTGTCCCTCTCCTGAGGAATTCCTCACTGCCCTCAGGGACAGCAAGCCTGCCACCGCCCCCCCCCCCCCAGCTCCCATTATCTCCTGCTGCTCCCTGCCCACCCCCCACTGTGTTCCAGGAACACCCATCCAACCAGTGACCATGCTGGGCCACAGTGGGTCCCCCCTCTCTGCCTCTGTCCCTTTCATCCCACTGCCAGGAGTGCCTTTCCCACCCTGCCCCCAGAAGCCCCCATCGACCCCCCAGTCCTCGTTCTGGTGCTACTTTCTCCCTGAGGCCTCCCCAAGCCTTCAGGCTGTGCTATCTCTGGAGGGCTGAGTAGATAGGGTTCAGATCACAGGTTCAAATCCTGGCTCGGCCACTTTCTATGTGACTTTCAACCAATAACCTGAATCAGTTTGGGCCTAGAGTTCTTCCTCCATAAAAAACCTGCTTCACAGAGGTGGTGGCAAAGTTCAATGGGAAGATGTGCCTGGCGTTGAGCAATGCTGTGTACCTACTCTCACCCTCATCGCGTACTTTCCTTACTGTACATGTCACCCTCAATTATACCTGCTCTTTTATTTACTACAAGGGTCCCCAAAGGGAGGGCTGACTCCCATCTGCACATGGAAAAACAGAAGAGAAGCCCCGTCTCCTACTAGCTCTGCAACTCTGGGCAAGTTCCTTAACCTCTCCGAGCATTCATTTCCTCCTCTATAAATGGAGACAGTGGTATTGCCTACTACCCTGTGGGGTGCGAGGAGTCAATGAACTGGTACCTATAAACCACTTAGACTGTTGCTTGGTAGCCATTCGGCAGCGGGTTAATGTTATCAATGGGGACGATGATCATCCGCATCCCCATCCCCTCGTCAACACCCCAGCGGCACAAGGCAGATGCTGAGTGCTCACTGGCTGTCTGCGGAGTGCCATCGCCCTGTGATATCATCTGAGTACCTAAGTGGTACTCACACAGGAGCTCAGACGAGCTGGGTGCTAGCACTCTGCGGGTGCGGAGGCAAAACCTCACAGTTGGCCCTGAGACCAGACCGCACCACGCTTCTTGCACACGACTTGCCGCCTGCGCTGGGTATGTACTCTCCTGCTCCTGGACCTTCAGTCCCCTGACAATCCTCCCCATGCTAAGGCCCCCCGACAATCCTCCCCATGCTAAGGCCCCCCAGGGACTGGAACATGCTATAAACTATTCAGTACAACCAACATCGTGCACTTCAGGGTCAGGCTGACCTGATGACAAATGCTGGCTCAGGCCCTTCCAGCTGTGTGATTTTGGGTAAGTGACTGCCCATCTCTGAGCCCCTGGTCCCTCCTCTATCAAAGGGAGACATGATGACGCTCACCTCTCAGAGGACTTATAAGGAGTAAATGAGATCATCCAACGTGAAGGAGATTGTGCAAATTATGGCCACATAATTTACAGAGCCAGGTGGAAAATGCAACTGGGGGCCTCCTGTTCGCAAGTTATTAGAAGAGCTTCAGGATGGGGACAGCAGAGCGTGGAGGCCAGCACAGGGCCTTCTGAGCACAGGTCCCATGCTCGTGAGGCTGGCCTGACCAGTCAGGCAATAAGCACAGGGCCTGGCACCGAGGAGGCAACCAGAGAGTTCATTCTTCTCTTCCTTCCAATGGAACCAGGCAACAGTGCCCCCAAAATGAGACACTCCCAATTGTTGGGAGCAGCTCACTTTCATTCAGAGCTTCACTTGTAACCCAGCTGCCTCCTGCAAGAACTTGGCTGCCTGGTTCCTGGAGGCCGTGCTCCCCTCCCCGATGCCCAAATCCTGACAGCAGGATAAGTGCAGGACCTTTGGGTTAATGGAGCTTTTCCCCTCCTCATCTCCATCTCTGATTTATCCAGATGGTCCGGTTTTCCCAGCAGAACTAGCCCTCGGTTCCTGCCCGCCATGGGTTGTGTGAA